TATTTTGGAATTATAATCTTATAATTTTTGCTTTATTGCAACCTTGTGAGGGTTGAACTAAATGCCCATTAAATAATAAGAGGCAAGCATGTAAGGATTTTTCTGAGAATTGCTTGCTTGCTTGCTTGTTTAATTAAATTTAAAAGTTACAGTCTCCAAGGCCAACACATAAAGAGCTTGAGATGCTGACCAAGACTGAGAATCTCTGCCTTCCCCTGAGCCCCTTTCCCACTGAGCCATATTAAAGGCAGTAACATCAGTCAGCTGCCTCCTTCAAACAAGCAAGTGTGAGGGAAGCAACCACAACTTCCAAGTAGGTGCCACCAGATTAAGGGCCCAATTCTGGCATTGCACAGAATGGACCCCCTGATACAGGAGTCTAATTTGTGATCCAGATCCCAGTGTACAAAATCCAGAGACACGGGCTCTGGTCCGTAAGCAAGAGCAGTCACAGCCTTCAGCACCAAGCCTCTGTGAGCTGATCACTTGTTCCAGCCAAACTCCAGCCGAGCCCTGAACCTGACTATCCATCCCAGCCTAAGACTTGGGCCTGAAGAAAAGTGTCTTGGGAGGGGTGTCCAGTTTGTGCTGGGCATCCACAGGCAGCCCATCACCAGAAAGATTTCTGGTTGCTGCTAAGAAGATGACAATTGCATTTGTAAATTCCGTGGTGGATTCCTTTTTTTAGGGGAAGCACCCAACCAAAGTTCTGGAGCTTTCTTTAGGGGGAGGACTTCGCCCGCTTGCCCCACCACCACCGAGGGAAAAAAAAACTTTCACCCCTGACCTGTGCCACCACAATCGCCCTGCCGCCTCCCGCCTCTGCAATGCAGCCCTGAGGGCCAGCTGAAAATAAGCCCTGGGAAGTAGTAGCATCAGGTAAACTCTAGGAAATTCACTTTATATTTAATAATGCAAACTGAATTTGCATTCAAGCATCCATGCTGCTAGGTACTTCTGAAAAATATTTGAGATATATAGAATATTCTGAGCAGAATATCCTGTGTGAAGACCAATGCCTGCAAAGAGCAGCTTGGTAGATCAACTTGTCAATTCAGAACACACTTCAGAATATATCTGCATCCACCTCAGATTTTAATATATGAGGCCGAAGGCATTCTTGGCAAAAAGCAAAGTTGCAGAGCTCATTTGAAGGCCCATTAACAGTGCCCATCTGACCTGCATGCGTGATACTTATATAGATTTCTTTCACTTGCAGTAAGTTTCCAGAGGCAAACTTCTAAATGAAAGTTGATTGTAATGTATTCATTTGGAGCTGATAATAAAAGAGTGTTGTTGATAAGAGCTCTTTAGAAAATGAATAGTGATGAGTTTGGTTCCACAATTGTGTTTGTTAAAATAGGGTTGTATTAATGGCCATCTCATGTGAATGCCAGTGAAAAGTTCTCCTCCACCTGGTGGTGCTCCATGGAGATGCAGTAACGTTTGATGTTTCCCTCTTCATTTGTGCCTATGCTTGCCGCTGTGCTTCCACAGCATATGTTTGGGCAATGCCTAGAGGGGGAGAATTCTGTGGTCTAGTTCTTAAATCTGTGTCCAATCTGCCAATGAATTCAAGATTTTATGCATGGGGGCTATCTTCCCTGGGGGCTACCCTGTGAAGTAGGGTTAGGCTAAGAGCTGGTGATTAAGCTTCATGGCTCAATCCAAGGTCTCCCAGTTTCAGTGCTGAGGGTGAAGAACACAGTGCCCACCCATCCCACTCTGAGAAGCTCTGACACTCTGCTCACCAACCCGCTTGTCTGATGTGTTGAATGCCAACCCAAGGAAGAACTTAGTGCCAGCACTTATATGCAAGTGGTAATATCGACATAGTCAATGAAGAGGATTACATGCTTCCCATAAGCGCTTCCACCAGCCCTTTTTCATATACGTACCACAGAAGCAAGCAAACCCAGCATACATTAACTGCTTCTGCCCATTAGCCTCAAACGGGATGTCATGTAGCATGGCATTCAGTTTTGACTCCTGCCACCTACCTTACACATTGGGCCAATACCTTTTAAAGACCAACTCACATGCTATAAGGCAGCAAATCAAGGTTAAAAGGATAATGGGATAAAAAATTCCCTGTTCTATGGCCTCCACCCCACTCATCTCTTCTGTTTCCTGTGACCAAGAGCCATCCTGGTCCATCTGCCTATGCACGCTTGCTTTCATACATTTAATCAGCAGTGGGAGGCGGAGGAGCTGAGGTGCGGTGAGTGGTGAGGTAAGAAGAAGGCTTGGCTCTTCTGGTTTTTGCTTCCCTCCATCCTCTGCATTGCCTTGAGATGCTGTGGAAGTAGCACAGTGGAAGCCAGGGGACTTCCTCCGAAAGGCCTGTGCAGTTGCTCCTGGAAGAGGTGCATCTCTCATACGGTCCCATGCCCTGTTCGCCAGCATGTCAAGGTGAGGAAGGGAAGCAAAACAAAGAAAAACACCCTTCCTTTCCTCTTGGTCTCCACTGCTGCTTCCACTGCCACTCCCAGTTCAACGTAAGGAAGGGGAAGGGCTGTGTGTTTGGAGTTGAAGGGCAGGGAGTGCTTTGGGGACAGGAGGCTGAAGAGATGTGTGGCTACAGCACATCCTAGTTATCCCACTCAGATGTTAATCCAAGCTAAAGAAGAATTTCAGGACTTTAAGTACCACCCCTCGTTCATTTCCATGCTGACTCAAGATAACGACTCCATCATCTCTAGAAGGAGGACTGAGTTGTAGATAACTGTCACAGAATGATATAGTGGTTCCCTACATCAAAGAAACACACTATCACTGGGACTTGCAGTGTTTTAGATTAGGGTTGCCATATTTAAAAAACTGTAAATCTGGACACAAAAGTTTTCCCCAGCCATATGGCAGCCCTGCTCTTGATCAGTTATAAACTTTGTGGACCATGGTCTTTGTATGGGGATCCTGTTACCTGAAAAACTGTCATTCTTTAAAGTCTTTTTCAAAACAAAATGTTTCATGCTAGCATTTTGATTTTGTGGGGATAGACACATGGATCTCTTAGAGTTAGCCATATCTAGGATATCTGCATATGCAATTAGTTGTTTGCATATTTGAATATTTTATTACTAAGAATTTCTACATTTTTATAAAAGGAGATTGATTGCGATTTTATTCTGTTTCACTTGTTTTAACTAATTTGTGGGTTCCTGTTTGGTCTACTACATAATTCAGTAGCAATTTGTTATTTTCCTTGTGTTACTTGCTGTCATTTTTATTTTAAAGAGTGGCAAAGGATGTGGGTGTCTCTTGAAGGGATCGCGGATGATGAGGCAAGAAGCTTATAGCACAGACCATTTAAACTGAAATACTTGGATTAAAAATGGGGTAGACGCATTGCCTTGACTAAATCTAAATTGATTTGCATTCATCTCCAGCATTTCAGCTGTATCAACCTGAAATTAGGTCAGATATTGCCAAGAGATGTACCGTAATTCCAACTCAAACGATCCAATATAAATGATCACCTTGTCTTTCTTGCTCTCACTACAAAAGTTATTTGTTTATTATTTCTTTTGGCATAAGACTTTACCTAATTTCAGCCTGATCCATACTCTAGCTGAGATGAAATCGCTAGATGTAAATCAATTTACTCACATGCAGCCTGATGGGCCTACACCAACTTAAATTCTCTGAACTGTAATTGCTAAATTTCTTCTGAAAGATGAGCTATTGCTCTCTGGATAAATGCTTCTTTGAGAAAAAGAAAAAGTTCTGGGGATCATTGTTCACTTGGTTCACTTGCTCCACCAGATATCTCATTTTATACCTTCATCGGAAACAGATACAACCACTCCAGGAGACAAAATTGAAATGACGTAACTTGTTTCCCAGTGGGACTTCAGCCTAGCAAAATTCCTATAGTATCATTTGCCCCTCACGTACCTTTTACTCTTCAATAACCTTTATAACATTTTTAAAGTGGTATTGATGTTATGAAAGCTCTTCCATTCAAATCTCAAAAGGGCTGGAAGCCAGTTTCAAGTTCAGCAGCCCTCTGTGACATGTAGTGATTTTGTTTCTGCCATCTGCCAGACAAAGGCTTTTGCAAACTTTTTTTTTGTGTGTACTGGATATCCAGTATCCACCTTCATTGTCTGCCTCCCCCACCTTCTCATAGACTACCAAGCTTCTCACACATTTTACTCCATACTGTTTCTTCTTTGAATTTGTACATTCAAATTGGAGAATAAGTCATTCATAAGTTACATTTAACTTTCTGTAAGTTCTGAACTGAAGTTCTGAACTGTGGTTAACAGTGGTACGTAATATCTAAGAGGCTATTCAGCTGTAACACCAAACCATGGCTTAGCAGTTTCTCTGCAACATTTTGAAATAGGGCTTATGCTCACACAAAATTTCTATTTTCCTTTTCCTTTTGCAAATTCAGGTTGATATGAGATCCTGTCACTCATAACACTTTCTGTTCTGCTGCATTTCCATTGGCACAAGAGTTCCTTTCGAAAATCTAAGAATGCCTAGTTTTGTTGTGAACAGCAGTAATTGCAAAATGTTAAAATGTCTTACTCCACCACCCCCTGGACTGGAGAGAAGAAAGAAGGCAGACAGCAGGGGCTGGCTGAGACTGGCAGAGGCTGGTGAGGCAGTGCCCCATTTGGACCAGCTGACTGATTAAGATATTCTGTCCAGCAGCAAATAACTTCCAAAATGTTACAGTTCATCACATGATCACCCCATGGGCGATAGCCAGGCCCTGACCTTAAATCCTCATTAGTAGCATTAGAATGTTTTGGGTTTTTTTATAAATACAAAATTGTACTAATTTCTCTTAATCAAGCATGCAGCCAAAGCTGATAGATATCCATAATGAACAATAAACTGTTTACGTGGGTAATCAGCAGAATTCATATTTCCCAGTGAAAGAGCTGCTGGATGTTTTATTATTATTATAAATGATAAGAGTGCACTTATAGATAAGATATCAAGGGAATTTCAGAATCCAAGAGCATCTTATGTGCTGGAGCAAAGTACAGTGGTGCCTCGCAAGACGAAATTAATCCGTTCCGCAAGAGTCTTCGTCTAGCGGTTTTTTCGTCTTGCGAAGCAAGCCCATTGACGGATTAGCGCTATTAGCGCTATCAGCTGTTTAGCGGCTATTAAAGGCTTAAAGGCTTAAAGGCTTAGGGGATTAGCTGCTAAAAGGCTATTAAAGGCTATTAAAGGCTTAGCAGATTAGATAAAGGGGGGGAAAAGCGAAAAAAAAATCTCAAGACTCGCAAGACATTTTCGTCTTGCGAAGCAAGCCCATAGGGGAATTCGTCCTGCGAAGCAACTTCAAAACGGAAAACCCTTTCGTCTAGCGGTTTTTCCGTCTTGCGAGGCATTCGTCTTGCGGGGCACCACTGTATGCTTTGGGGATCGAAAAGTCCTGTGTACTCAAATCAAGGCCTTAGTTTCTTGCTGTGTTCCCCATCAAATAACCTGAGAAATAGATTACTGATGGATTGTCAAAAGCATTTACAGAACAACCATATAGATGTAAGCGCCACTGAACTCAAATGGACTTTCTCTCAGGTTGTAGGACTGCAGGCTTACACTCTTTAATGCTCCTATATATAAGTGAAAGAGTGGGAAAATATTTTGCTAAGAGGGAATTCATACAATTGATTGAAGTGCTACCAAAGCCAACTAGTTATGGCCTACTTATACTGTTAACTATAACCCTAGTTATACTGTTTGGGAACTGATGGACATACAGGAAATTGAGCTGTAATGGCAGTTTCACACTTTTGAAGTAACTGCATAGCATAAAGCCACTTCTTGTCTTCCTGAGTCATGTCACTGGTCCACCTAGTTCAGTATCATCTGCACTGACTGCACCAGCTCCCCAGTTCTACCCAACTGAAGAAGCCAAGGATTGAACCCGGAATCTTCTGTACACTAAACATATGATATTCCACTGAGCTACTTCAATGAAAAATGCAGTGAATGAACACGGCAACCATATAGGCTATATGATAGTCTAGATACCACAAAGAACACAAGACTTGATCTGCTGGAACAAGTCAATATGAAGGCTGGCCTGGTACTTCTTGGCACCTGGAGCAAAGGACAAGATGGTGCCTCCTGCCCAGTCCATTGGCAGATACAGTGGTACCTCGGGTTAAGTACTTAATTCGTTCTGGAGGTCTGTTCTTAACCTGAAGCACCACTTTAGCTAATGGGGCCTCCTGCTGCTGCCGTGCCGCCAGAGCCCGATTTCTGTTCTTATCCTGAAGCAAAGTTCTTAACCTGAAGCACTATTTCTGGGTTAGTGGAGTCTGTAACCTGAAGCGTATGTAACCTGAAGCATATGTAACCTGAGGTACCACTGTACTGGCTGGATTTACAGCTGAAGCTTACTTCAATCTTAGCCATGGGACAGCACCCTCCACTGCTGCTGAGGACAGAAGGATTCACAAAAAAGCCCAAAAGATAACCTGTAGTGGCTATTATGGTATGTGTACAAAAGGTGGGGTCCACCATAATTGGTATACAGTCAGCTTAGAGGGGAAATGTCTGTATTGCTCCCTAAAAGTTGTGGGTGCTCCCATGGGTGGGGGTAGTTCTCTGTGCACAGCCAGGGATTCCTGTATGTTTACAGGAATGAAAGTACACCTCATACCCATCAGACCAAAAGCCAAAGCTATTAAGGTACTTCCCCCTCTACAAGCTCAGCAGTATGTCAGCTATATGTCTGTTGGAAGGCGCATTTTAGGATTCTTTTCTGTTTTATTAGCAGATGCAAGATGACAATCTGAGTGGTTAGTTATCTTGTCCAAGGATTTTAACTCCAAGCTGGAGATGTGCCACTGCACAAATTCCTGACACAGGAGGAATTGCTGTTGAAGGAGATGTTCTTGCTCCATCCCTGGCAAACTGATGAAACCAAGTAAAGCCCATGCACAAAGCACTTCTCTTCTGCCCACACTTTGGTGTTTTTAACACTTCACAACCATTTCCCACAGTATAACAAACCTCTCTGCTAAATTTGGCCGAGTCCCACTGTATTTCTCACACAGTGGGATTTTGCCAAATTTGCACAAAATAACTCTTATTTGGAATCCTAAAAGTTATAGGATATGAAAAAATCCAAAAGAGATTACATCCCATTTGAATCTGAGATGTTTCAATCCGAAAGTAGATTGCAAGTGGTTTGACAACTTTTGGAGAGGAATATTCTGCTAGGTGCCGTATAAGGTGCAGACCCCTCAGCTACTTGCTGGTTGAGCTTGTGTCACACTGGCCTTGCAACTCCTAAATAGATGTCCAGTTTGACTGACGACTGGAGCCTGGATTTTATTGGCCCTATGGCCAATATGTGGCTGAGCCCACAGGGGATTGTGCATTGAACCCCAATATTTCCCCATCAAGGCCTTATTTTAGTGAGATTTTTTTAAAGCCACTTGGGTATCTAGTGGAAGCCAACCTTTTTGGCAAAATTCTGCAAATCAAGTTGTAACTACAGGCCTGTTCAGGCAAGTGGTTATCTCAACCGCCCACCATCTCAGGTGCACCTCTCCTCCCACAACCTCCTGTGTTTGGTGCAAAGGTTGGAAGGGAGCTTGTAATCATGTTCAGCTGAAAACAATTAGAAGCCTGTGCATTATCAGGAGCTGTGCAATATCAACAACTGGCTGCAGCTCAAAAAGACCAGAGATGAGTACCCTAATCTTTAAAAGTTCACAAAGATCCCAACAATGGGCTCTGTCCTTCAGACAATGACAAGGCCAACTTTGATCTGTAAAATTTCAGCAGCACCCTGTGTGAGGCCACAATTTGGAGCCCCTCCCTGCCTCTCACCTCCTGTTCTGTGTGTGCACTACATCATAGTCTCTGTGCCCAGTGGGGGGAACCAGTTACTGCCCTAAATCTGCCTCTGATAATGATATGACCCCAAAATGACTGTTTCTGTCGATACAGTTATGCCCCTCTTCCAGTTTAAGCGTATATAACTCAGAGCCAGGTGGTAAGCAAGCCAAGTATGTGATGTCAGGCAGATGTCTCTTTATATGTCATGTATCATTTAAGCAACGATACAGGCTTAGCAGCTGCCGTTTATGTCAATGACTTTCAATAATCCTGGCTACAGCTGTTTGAAATAAACAAAGAGCATTGTCTTTTAACACCATTCACTTGTACTTCTCATCTGGGGATGAATTAAACACATCCAACAGAATGAAATACTATCTTGCAGAGAGCTTCTTTAGGGGGCTGGGAACCATTTCGCTGGTCCACAGAAGTGGGGGATTTTCAGCCTATGTTGACTCTTCTGAAGAGCTCAGAATCTAAAATAAAGGCAACTTATCAAGTTGTAACTTATCACGTTGAATGTTTGTTAAATGTCCACTATTCCATCTTCTGAGGCTACCCCCACTTCTGCCTGAAACTTTTCAGAGCAAATGAAGGACAATGCAATAAAAGAATTCCGCATGTAGTTGTTTTCTTGAAATTAATTGGCCCTGAAAAGAGTAGCCTCAGCTGCAGTCTCTTCATCACCACCAGCTGGTGATACACAAGGTGTGCCTGATCATACACTATTCCAAGAAAGGTGCCCAGCTGTTTTTACTTTAATTATTTGTATGGTTTAAAATATATTTTATATATGTATGTAGTTTAAATTCTTATCAATGTTTAATAGTTTTTAATGATTTTTTGTTTATAACAGTTCTTATTTGCATCTGCAAACTGCCTTTCAGGGAGAAAGGCAGGGAATAAATTAATTAATAATAAAATGGCCACAAAAACACCAACAAGCCTCCAGTTTTGCACCATGGAAAACCACACTATGCTATTCAAATCACATTGCCAAACTAATTCTGGATGTGGTACTTGTGTTTGTCAATGTTGTCAAGTTCTGGATAGTAGCAAAACAGATGGAGGCTTGGAGGGGAATCTGGTGGTCAGACACAACTAAGGAGAATGGGATGCTGCCCACTCAAGCACAAAAGACCTACTCCCTGAAAGCTGAAGCCCAAATCCTCAAGAGTTCTCTCAGTCTTGAGCTGATACAGCCTCCTGAGAACCAAAACCTTTATTATTCTTATGCATATTTAATTAATTAATTTTCATTTAGGGGTTGCTTCCCATGAGGCTCCTGAAGCAGTTCAGGATATAATAAAAACGTATATAAAACAGTTACATATATAAAAACATTTTAAACAATGATATGTAGATATGTATATGCATTTAGAAAGTGTTTTCGAAAGAGAGACTAAAGTGGGAAGCTACAGCACACACCAGGAATTTTTATCATTTTGCCAGTGTGAACAAAATCAGTGAAGTCTTGTAGCAGCAGGAGAAGTTGCTTGGGAGGCCTCATCCCCCTGCTTTATGTAGAGTAGACATGTACTTCGGAATATCAGGCATCAGTCTCAGAGGTAAACAGCAGGAGATGGAAATGCCATGTTTGTGCTTGACTTGAGAAAGACCAGAAACAATAAATTGCTCAATCAGATGGCTCTCGGTCTCTGAGGCACCAAAGGGCACTGCTTCTGGGGGACTTGATGTCAGAGGTTACAAACCACCTGGAAAAAGGAGGTTGCTAACATTTTCATAGTGATTATGAGGTCCTAAAAAGTAACAGCGGAAAGCTCTGAATCATGCACAATGCTTTTGCAGTTTGGTCTTGAATATATTCAGGTATGAACCTGCAAACCTATGAGAATCCCTGCCACCAACCCAACCCCATGTATTGAAATCTTAAACAGCATCCTAGTTTGGCTTGCCTGAAGGTGTTAGGCATTTGCAAAATTGCAAGATGTGATTTGATTATGAATAGCTTGGAAAAATGGATCCTGGCTTTACTTGGAACACGCATTTCATTCCCCTTCCAATCTCTGCATTGATTTGAAAGGCAGCTGGGTGGAAAAAGTGCCATAAATAAACTGTAAAGTGCAGTTTTAGAATTTCAGGCAATACTATTTCATTGTGTTTGGGGAATGAGGCCCATGAGATCATCTCTAATTTGCATTTATTTTTTGCTTTTGATTGTGTGCCAACATATCTCAAGTTATTTTGGTTGTAAATACTGTTGTTCTGCAGAGCTCAGGCTAGATTTAGTAACATTTCTGTTCATCTGTTTGTATAATATGCAGCAATCAGATATCCGACAGTGCCTTTGCATTAAAATGCATCCTCTGAAACTTGTGTCACTTGTTTAATGATGTAGCTTCCTTAAAGCTTGAGCCACTGTGGTGTTTTTATATACTAATTTTGGCAATGCCTGGCCCTTTTTGGAAGGGAAAGGCAAGATTCAAAACTGGTTGAAAAGTGTTGTGCAGACTTTCAAATAAAAGTTTTAATGCTCTTGCTAGGAAATGGTTAAGTAAAGCTACATGTTCTTCTTAAAAGTAAAATAATTCAGGAGGAAAATATTGTTCTCTTCCTGCTGGAAGCAGTAATGTTTTTCATATTCTCCATTCCCTTAAGCAGAGGGCAACCTTTTACAAGGATCCTTGTATGGGGGGAGCCCTGGAGATCTATGCTGTCATTTCTGTGGCATCTGTTTATTTAAAAGAAAAATACGTATGCTGAGCACTGGGGAGCAAACAGCGTTCATTCGTAAACAAACACAGTTTCCTGAAAAGCAAACAGCATACCTTTGAGCCTTCAGCCCAACTGCAAGAAAGCCAGACTCTGGCTTCATCCCAGGTGCTAGTATCTCCTTGTTTGGTAGACAGGCCCAGCTTAGCCCTGGGGGGGGGGGGTGAAGCCTGTCCTGCCACTTCAGCCACTGGCAGAGAAGTCTGGCAACCTAAAAGCAACACGACAGGCTAATAATTTGATTACAACACTTTATATAACTACTAAATTGTATCTTCATTCAGAGTCAAGTGGCATACAATATATGCAAGGTAACACCCACTAATGTGACTTCAGAGAATTTCCCCAAGTAGGGGATTTTTTCAATGGTGTATCAAACAGAGAATGATTGAGGCAACATGCCTTCCAAAATAAGTATCAAGTCCCGACCACAGCACAGCTGCGCCTGGTTATCTTCACGACTTGTTCATATATTTAGCAGTGAACACCCTGAAAGAAGTTGGTGCTCCAGAGGCAGTAGCAGGACAGTCCTTCCTGGATAGCCGACTGTTTCAGACTTTGCTCCTCAGCAAATAAAAGGTCCAAGAGGGTACGTAGGTTACAAACGGTTCAGCTTTCACTAAGTACAGTGGTAGCTCTGGTTACGAACACTTTGGGTTACAAACACTTTGTGTTACAAACTCCGCTAAACCAGAAGTAGCTGCTCCTGGTTGCGAACTTTGCCTCAGGATGTGAATGGCGCAGCCATTAGCTAAAGTGGTACCTCAGGATAAGAACGGTTTCAGCTTAAGAACGGACCTCCGGAATGAATTAAGTTTGTAACCAGAGTGTTACTGTAGTGTAATTAGCTGACTGGCAGAGAAGTGGCACCGGCATCAGCGCCAGTTTCCAGCGCGGCCTCACGAGGTCTCATGAAGCATGCAAGATCTTGCCGGAAATTGGCACTGATGCTGCTGCTGCTTCTCTGCCAGTGGCAGAGGCAGAGGGGGAGGCTGCAGCAAGGCACATTAGCAGAACAGATAGTTGTAGGAGTTGCCTTAGTATTTAGGAACTTCCACATTAGCTTTTTCAACATCTGGGATTTCTCAGAAGCTTGTCAGGGATGGGATTTTCTGAAAACCTCAATATCCAGCTCAAACCTCTCAACACAATTTTTTTCCTAATTCCCATTTTGCTCCTTAATCTCAATGCTTCCACTAAAATTCTTGAAATGTTGTACATTGCTATACAATTATACACATTATTATGCATACAATATTGTGTATAATAATGTGCATATTATGGGGGGAGGTTGCACATAAATTTCTATATAATTAGTCTTTTTTAAAAAACTAAACAAACATAATGTACAAGCAGCATGGATATAAACAGATGCAAAGGGTTCAATTTTGGAATTGCCAGATTTGGTGTAGGAATCAGTGTAAAATGGAATCCTCCTTGATGCCTTGTCAGGGGATTTTTAAATGACAACAAGCTGCCTCAAAGACAGCTTGTCCAATGCTTCTGATCGTCCCCTGCAAGATACAGCCCCAGGGATGGGTTTGTGGTTTTTTGTATTAAATTTTATTGACAATTTTCAACAAATGATACAATAAAAACCAAACGAAAAGGCATATAATATTTTATATATAATAATATAATATAATATAATATAATATAATATATATAATACAAAGCCCTCTATCACAATTTTATGTTGATCCTTATTCCACATACCTAAGAGTGAACCCTCCCAGCTCTCACCTGGGCACATCCCTCTCTTTCCTCAGCCTCGCACCCCGAGGAAACCTCTCTGGCCCACCTCTCAGGCAGGTCCCTTCCTCTTCTATCCATCACCTCTCTGTATGCAGCTTCATTTAAACCAAATATCAAACTTCAAAGAGCAAAACAGACATGTAAGTAGAATTAACAGAGCTATCAAGAGTTAAAAAGCATAGAAAAAACAAGATAAGAAGAAAGAAAATAAGAAAAAAGAAAAGAAACATATCTCTTGCAAAAGAGATTAAAAATAATAAAAAAAGGTTTCTTCAGCTATGTTCAAAGCAAGAGGAAGAACATGCAAGTGGTAGGTCCTTTGTGTGGTGAAGGCAGAGAAATGCTAATTGCTCAACACCTGCTTTGCCTCTGTCTTCACCCAAAAGGAAAGTGATGCCCAACCTGGTGATAACAGAATAGATGATGTAAGGAGGGAGCTGAAGCCCAAGACAGGAAAAGAGGTGGTAAGGGAACTGCTCGCTACTTTAATTGAATTCAAATCTCCAGGGCCTGATGAGCTGCTTTCAAAGGTACTTGTGGATGTAATCTCAGAGACTTTGTCAATGATCTTCGAGAATTTTGGGAGTATAGGTGAGGTCTCTGCAGACTGGAGGCGGGCAAATGTCCCCATCTTCAAAAGGGGGGGGGGAGGAAGACCCAGGTAACAACTGACTGATGACCTTGACATCAATACCTGGGAAGGTCCTAGACCAGATAATTCAAGAGTCCGTGAGCACTTAGAAAAGAATGCTATGGTTACTAAGACCCAGCATGGGTTTCTCAAAAACAAGTCATGCCAAACGAATCTCATTTCTTTTTTTGATAGAGTTATAACCTTGGTGGACCAGAGGAACGCTGCAGAAGTAGTGCATCTTGATTTCAGTAAGGCTTTTGACAAACCAATGACTTCAAGTTACAAGAAAGGAGATTCCTACTAAACATCAGAAAGAACTTTCTGATAGTAAGAGCTGTTCAACAGTGGAATGGTCTGTCTCAGAAGGGGGTAGATTCTCTTTCCTTGGAGGCTTTTAAGCAGAGGTTGGATGTCCGTCTGTCAAGGATGCTTAAGTTGAGATTCCTGCATTGCAGGGGTTAAACTACGTGGCCCTTTGGGTCCCTTCCAACTCTACAATTCTATGAGTCTTCTGATTCTCTGTCTGCCAGTTATGTTTGTAAGTATTTAGAGTATGCACTCTAGGATAATTTTAAGCTGTATTAAGATCCAACTTTTTCTCATTCTGCTAGTTGGTATTTTCACAATGTTCCCTTTCAGGAATCTTGAATCATAGGTTCCAGCTCCCTGGGGCCCTGGGTGCCCGAGCCCCAACAAAATTCCCCATTAAGGGGCTGGGCACTCACAAATTTCAGCACCAGGGCCATGCACGCTGCACTCCTGTCTCAAATTCACCTTTTTCCACTCAAAAAGTCAAAAAGAGCTCTCCAGTTATTATTATCTTCAAGTGTCAAAATGGTCTTTTCCATTTCATTTTGATGAGTTTCTCCTCTAGAAGAGAAGAAGAGTTTGGATTTGATATCCCGCTTTATCACTACCTGAAGGAGTCTCAAAGCGGCTAACAATCTCCTTTCCCTTCCTCCCCCACAACAAACACTGAGGTGAGTGAGGTGAGTGAGGCTGAGAGACTTCAGAGAAGTGTGACTGGCCCAAGGTCACCCAGCAGCTGCATGTGGAGGAGCGGAGATGCAAACCCGGTTCCCCAGATTACAAGACTACCGCTCTTAATCACTACACCACACTGGCTCTCTAGAGTTCCAACATATCTTAATAATGTAATAATCCTTACTTATTTGCCTGTTATAGCTTCATTAAATCATATTCCATCCTCATTTCCAGTTGGCCATGCTTCATTCCTGTTTAAAGAAAAAAAGAAAAAGTTCCTTTCCCTGCTTTTCTCCCAGTCTTTTATCAGACTGATCTCCAGGAGATGAGAGGTTTTTTTTCTGCTTGTGTATTCATTTCAGTCTCTACCATCTGCAGTCGTCTCTTATCATCTTTGATCATAATTTCATTAATCTCGTCTGACATTACAACAGTTTCCTTTGTTTGTTTCAACCTTCAGACCATTGTAAATCTCTTTCCCATTCAACATCTGTTGATTCTTCATGTTTGGGGGAAAAGTAATTCCAGGTCTTCTTCCACAGATTCCATACATTCTTTCACGTGCTTTATCTGTTTTTTGAACACCGACCGTAAAAGTTCAAGAATCAATGAAGCATTCTGTATTGCCATTATTTACTGGCTATCTCTGCTTTCCAGCTCATATGAAAAAGATAAAATTTAGCTTTCATTTTCACTCAGCTCAGCACACAGATGGAGAATTGCAAACAATGTAAAGTAAACTTATAAGCAACTTCAAAGCTATTATTTGTTTTAATTGTTAAGGTAATTAATCCAGTTAAGCTTTTACTGTATCTTCTAGCCTGTTATTTAATGTTCTTGCTTCTTTCCTGGGTGCCATTTAACTGACAGATAGAAATTCCAATTCATATGCAATACAGGGAAGTATTGATCAACTTCCCATAATTCTACCCCAACCAACCTTTCTGTTATTGGTATAAACCCCTGCAGCCATGATGTTGCTGCTAGTGTCAGTCTACAGGAATGTCTCCAGAAGTACAGTGAAGGAGATGGTGCAATCTGAAGTAACTACACATTTACAAAAAGGTGTTCTTCTGGTACCCACAACAGTGGTCTGTGAAGGTAGCCACTGATGTACACTAGCAGGCATAGGAGCCAACTCCTTTTGACATTTCCAATATAACATTTGAGGGGGCTGACCCCCAAGTTGATGGGCGTTGCCATTCAAATGGTGTGTCAGACTAGAAACGGGGATGATGAGAGTGGAGGCTTCTATCTGCCTAACATCAGTCTACAAATGGCTGACATTGAATCTGCTCCCCCGAGGAATAGCCCCACTGATCCTCTGCGACCAGTTCCAGTCAGGCTGGCAGACTGCAGTCCTGAACACCCTTCAGAAACTGGGTTTTGCCCCTCAAGCCCTTCTGAGCCTGGGGTTGGGCCAGGCAAAAGCTACGGTCAGGCAAAGAACCATAGACACCGAGAGACAATGGGACTGCTCAAGGTGCCCCGACTATAAAATTGGAGAAATAAAGAGATATAGAGCCGCACCGGCAGCATATCTCTTCTTTCTCGTATCTAAGAATGCAAGAAGGGCCTTTACACTCACCAGAAGCTCGGCTCTGCCCTCGCTGGTCCTGGAAGGAGCCTTTAAAAAAGTCCCACACGCTCAGAGACTTCGCGCCTGTTCATTGGGAGAGATAGGAAGTCCAGAGCACTTGTTCTTTAAATGTCCCTTTTATGAAGAGGCTCGTAGTAAGACCATTGATCCCCTACTGGTGAGGCTCGCTGACCTCCCGGAAAAGCAAAAACTCAACCTTTTCCTGTTAGGCAAAGATCAGAAGACGACCTGGATGGTCACCAGATTCTGTGTACAGATCTGTAGGTGCAGACCAACTCAAACTAGTTTGTTATGAAAATCCCCATACTCGGCTCTATGGGTGACCCTGGGTCAGCTCCCTGCGGCAGTTTATTGTTGTACATTGTTTTTAAAATTATTGTTGTACATTGTTTTAATTGTTCATTTTGCTTCTGTGACTGTACCCCCAAGTGTGTTTTATAAGCTGGTCTCTGACCGTAATAAATTATCTATCTATCTACCTACGTATCTATCTATGGCGTGTCCGCGCCACATCTTTTATTCAGGTTGGTACCCCCGCTAGCAGGCGCTGCTGTTGAGCAACCCAGGAGGAAGGAAAACCTCTCCCATACTGGTAGCTACTGGACGAGGTGCTGGTTAGTTGTCCCTCAGATATCTTCAGTCTGCACCCAAGCAGGAGACTGGTAGCTAGTTAGGAAGAATGTGCTTGTATCACAGGCACCAACTCCTGGGGCGGAAGTGTCTTCAGCCCCCTCAATATTTGTTGGCAGGAGTCTGAGCCCCACCCCTATGTCGAGGGGGTGGAGGCTGAGCACACAGCCGCATCAGTGGCTGCCTCCTCCTGAGCATGAGGGAAGAGGCGCCACCGGCCACTGAAGCTGCGCCATGCTGGGCTCTGCACTTGGCCTCATGCATGCTGCGTATGTGGGTGGTGCTGGGCCCCCTCAGTACTGGGCTCCAGGCTGCGCCTCTGCCTGGTGTGATGCTTGAGATGTTCCTCCCTCCACTGCCAGCTCCTGGTGGGGAGGGGATAGTCTTTGCCCTCCCACTTCATGACGCTGAAGTGGCAGTGAATGCTTCTCACCAGAGAATCACCTCACTTGCTTCCAGGAGCCCAATCAAGTATGCTGTCACTAAATCTGGGTGACATCAAATTCCACAGAGGGCTTCAGGTGTTACAATGTACAGCCATATCCTAGCACAACAGTTTGGACTGCTAAACCAAGAAAAAGATGGATTTGGTCTCGAAACATAAATATAGGCCAGCCTCATTTCTAAATTGCAATTGTTTGTAAAAGGAAGCCAAAGTAACTAATGAAGGGAGGAAAAGTGTAATTATCTAGTTGTCAATGAGCCAAAAAAGCCTGGGGACTGAAACAAACACATTTGTATCAAAAACTGATTTAAGATGAATCCCATAAGTAATTCAGGACTGCATTATCAGATCTTGGTTACTGAATTCAACCTGCCAACACATAATTTATTCTCAGCCTTCTTTAGGGGTGGGGAACCTTGATACACTATTAAAGGCTAAAAACTCCAAAATAATCTTATCTTATTAGCTGCTATGCAGTACTGTCTCACAGGCCATATATTAAATGGTCACACCATTTCTCATTTCCTTTGGAAAAAATTTTTCCCAAGCCAGCATTTTCAAAGCTTGCCACTTAAGGCCTCTTTCCAGGTAGCAGCAAGGAAGCAAACAAACAATGCCTTATCTGATAGCACAACTCCAGTGTAACAAATCCATTGCAGCTTTGGAATTACCTGGTGAAAAGTCAAGAATTAGCAATCACCCTATGGCCAGCTCTCAAACCAATGTAAGGAGCAAAGCCATGGGTAGGCAACCTAAGGCCCAGGGGCCAGATCCTGCCCAATCGCCTTCTTAATCCAGCCCCCAGACGGTCCGGGAATCAGCGTGTTTTTACATGAGTAGAATGTGTCCTTTTATTTAAAATGCATCTCTGGAT